TGTGTGTGAGTGTGAGTGTGTGTGTGCATGTGTGTGTGTGTGTGTGTGTGTGTGTGTGCGTGTGTGAGTAAGTGCGTGCACGCATATGCGAGCGTTTGTGTATATATGTGTATGTGTTTGTGTGTGAGTACGTGTGTGGGAGTGTTTGTGTGTGTGTGTGTGTATGTGTGTGAGTGTAAGTGTGTGTATGTGTGTGTGTGAGTGTGTGTATGTGTGTGTGGGCGTGTGTGGGCTGCTAAAAAAGACAACGATCTTTGCCCGGAATGCTAAATGAATGCCATGTTCAGTTAAGGCTCCCCCCCCTCCACCACACTTTTTTTTTTGGGGGGGGGGGGCTGTTTGGTCCACTAAAACGCCCTGGTATGACACAGTCACTATGATTACCTGTCTCACAGTGATATCCAGTCCAGCCAGCCACACAGCTACAATTGTAACTTCCAGGCAGTTCATTGCACGTTCCGTTGTTCTGGCAAAGAGTGGTATTTTCGCACTCTAGTATATCTGTAAAGATTGTAGAAGGAAGATACAAGAGTGATACTATGTCAGAGTATGGGGATGGGCTCTGTTCAGTCATATGTTAAAACTTTGTGAATTTCGCGTCGAGACAAACGCTTGGTCATAGTACTCATAATCATAGCTATCTTACTTTCTCATGAACGTGGCTAAAACCAAATAGCTAGAAACAAATTGCTATGTTTAATCTGCACAGGTCTTTAAATTCGGGTCTTAGAGTTGGATGACCGACCGAATATAAAAACCCATCAATGTAGGTCACTGCAAACTAAGGTTCTGATAGGTTTTTATGTTAATCTACAGTGGGCAAAAAATATAGGGGGAATTTCCATAATGCACCTGAAAATTGCAAACTGGACCTATCTTCATCAACACCAGAATTCAACACATGCCTATGAAACAAGGGTCCAACAGATGGAAGAATAATTTTCAAGACTTATATAGAGACGTCTGGGCAGTCTTGGAGGAAAATCTACAGGCTAACACTGTAATGTGGGGCAAAGTGGTGTCATTGTCTCAAAATGAGCAATGCGTATGCTGGGGTACCGTAAATCTTTTACTGACGAACTAAAAGTTTTAGCCGATTTACAGTATTAATCCTTGCACGCTGGCTGTGAGCATCATTAAGATATGGATGAGTGAAATTTTTAAAAACCCAAGAAACATTAAAATTTAATACTTATCAACCATCTTTTCTTAGGTTGTGAGCTTTGCCATAGGAATGAGAACCAGACATGGAAAAACATTGCCATGTGTACTTTACTAATGGAATAGAATTAGCAAGAACATCGATGTAGTATTCACGTAAATTTTGTGACGCCGCTAACAAGGCAGAAATAGGCCCTTGGTCTTGCGGGAGAAGTGCCATTAGATATAAAACAGCAACTTCGAACCCCC